CACCCTGAATATGCACAGTGAGGAAGTTCTGACCCCGCCCGAAGGTGCTAAGACGACAGGGAAACAGCAGATGTCAATTGTTTTAAAAGTCCTAAAAAGATATGACCAAATTAAACTTCGTTTCCCCATCACGTTCGACACTCTTGATGCATCTCCCATCACTGAGGCCTTTAAGGGTTTCTATTCCTGTCCATCAGACCAGCATGATCCTCTCCCACGTGTGGACTTGGCTGTAATCTAATTGCTCATCTCACATTGAGGTTTCTCAGCTATGGAGGCAGCGTCTGTGTCCAGCCAAGCTGTTACTGTGTTATTGGATTATGAGCAGACAAATATTATTTTGACGATCCGACAAAGGCCTCTTCTCACAGAACGGGTGACAGAGGGACTTGGGAGTTCTTATTAAATCAATAAAATGACATTAGCTCAACAACATGACATTAACTTAAGAGTCAGCCCAAAATGTCTCAGCGCATGTCAAGAACAGAGCCAAGCAGCGACACGCGAGTAAACAGTGGCTTAAAGGACGCCCAAAAATATGACTTCATATCGTCATACGTGACTGAGACTCAAGTTTCAACCTGACTCTCTCCTCCTCTGCCTTCTTCAGTTCAGCATCCCTCTTCAGCACCGTCATGATCATCGCCTGCTCCTCCTCCGTCAGGTGGCTCAGGTCTATCATGGTTCCTTCTCCTGCTTTTCTCAGTGGACAGGTGTGGAAACGGTTGCTGGTTCTGTCAAAGTATACAGCAGTTAATTCAGATCCTGTAAAGTTCTCAAAGTTTAGAGCTGTACCCTTAACTCTTTACCCCTTGAAGGACTACCAGCAGTGACACCTAGAAGCTCTTCTCTGATCTAAGTGGTTTCTTTAATATTTCAGGTCTGCTTATAGAACAAAATGACTGGGTTTGCATTAGAAGTTAATGAGGGTGGTCACTGTCTATGCAGCTACCCCTCTATACAGCAGGCTTCTCATTAAGAGTGACGTGGAGCCCATTTTTTCCAATTTAAACCAGAAGCCGGTCCAGTATTTAAAGCAATGAAAATAATTCCATTAAAGGAGTTATTGTTAAAGCTGTAGCTCCTATATTTTCTACTTTACCCAAGTATATAGCTGCCTTAAGCTGCTTTAAACTTCTAGTGCACTGCTTATGGTTCTATCATGTGACTGATGGAGGTTTAACAAGGTTTACACAGAAGGTTAAACCTACAAAACCATCAATATTAAAGATCAAATCAGGGGCTCCTGTTATTTTTTGGCTTGTATGTAGTTTCATAGTCACATCTTATAGAAGTTCACACAGTGAATTTCTGGATATTGAATATGGGAACTTTTTTGAAGAAGGAGGTCAGGTTGGAAAGTAAGCAGCTCGTTAACCACGGGAACAGCTGCTTACACACTGATGCTATTGATATAAGCAAGTCATATATATTAATGAGCCACAGGCACGTATTTACTGTTACTCTAATAAGTACCCAAATTATGTTTAGAGTAATAAGGGTGCCTGAGGAAAAAATATTCTATCAGTGGTGCTAAACTTTAGCTGGTGTGCTCTTTTTTATATAAAAAAGTTCATCAAGCGAAAGAGATGCTGATACTTTAACACTAAACTTTGACATCTGGACAGTAACGCGAGGAATCGTCTGGTCTTTGTGCAGCTGATGATTCCTTCAGAGATAACCAGCAACAGGGCGGACGCAAAAGTTTTCTTTGGCTGAGCAAACTTAAGCACATGAACGTTTCATAGAGTAAAAAATGGTTTTAAATGAAGCACACCTGAGAAGTCTCATGTTAACCTATTAACGTGAGTGGCAGAGGTTTACCTTAAATCTCCAGAGAGTGTCACTTCCTTTCTTTCCACTTCAAACTCAACAAGTGTAAAACATGGTTTGTTTGTGTTTTATATTTGCCTACCTTATAGGACACCTGAGGACTTCTCACAGCCCGCTTCTGTCTTTCCCATCTTCATGTTTTACAAAAAAAGAGAATCACACGGGAAATAAAGTTTTTACCTCCTCCACAGGTCTCCTGCTGCTGGATGCGCCGGATCTCCGGACATGCGCGTGGGAGGGGGCGGACTCAGAGCGCGTGCATGGGGAGGATCTGATGAGCATGAGCTGCAGTTTTTAATTTGACTTTCAGTAACTATATAAATATTAATTTTTATTTATGAATGTCTGGGTGTTTCATGTCAAGTTCAAGCTTTAATTTTAACTGATCTAACACTTAAATATAAATGAATTATGCAGTCAGTGGTGTAATGCCAGGTAGTGTCCAGCAGGTGTCTCCAGTTTACACACGTTGACATCATCGGTCTGTTTGACAAAAGGGTGTGAGCATCCTCACGGGCAGGCGAGGCTCTAGGACAGCCCAAACCTCAAATACAAGCTTACAGCAAGGCACTGTTTTCCCTTCCGCCTGCACTCTGAATGCTGTGAAATTATTTGGAGTAAGCAGACCATAAATATTCCCACGGTGACCCTGATGTGGTTTCAGGGCACAGCCACAGTTTCAACACCTGAGTCCTTCCTGGTTTCATGTTTTCAGCTTAGGAAGAGCACAAATAAAAACGGTTGGAAAGTGAACTGTGACATAAGCTGCACAAATATCCTGTTATAGGTTTTATATTTGAATAGCTCATGAATTGTGCTGATTTTATTTAGGTCTAATACATTTTAGACTCTGACTTCTCTAGTCAGCAAATTAAACCTTAGTCTACGGAATATTTTTCCCTTTATCATTTAACCGTCTTGTGACCCCTACAGCAAAAAACAAAACAACTGTCCTGAACCAAAGACCTTAAAAATCTTTGGCAACTGGTTAGTAACCATGTGACTATGTTGTCTACTAAAGCAGGATGTCATCTGCTGGATAAGATCCTTCAGGTGAGTCTCTGATCTTAAAGATAAAGTAGACAGAAACCCATAAAGGAAACACTCTCCCCTCTGTTTTAAGTGCCTTCCATCAGAGCAGCTGAGGGTGTATACATGTGGTCTAAAAATCAGCCTCACGTAGGATCACTACTCAGCTTTCCTGTTTGATGGCCTTGTGTTTAACTCATCAAGCCCTCTCCCTCATCCCAAGCAGCAATTTACTGAATGGCCATTTGTTGACTGGCTTCAGAAGCAAGTTGATGTCCACAGACTTCTAATGAGCGTGTTTACAACCCGGAATAAAAAACCCATTATAGTCTCAATGTTAAATTCTCTTCTTCACAAAACCTTTAGAAGTGTGGATCTTTTTATAAACCTACTAAAATAGACTTTAGGAATTAATGATAACTACTAGGGACATGAGGTTTCACAGGACAGATGCTAATCTGCAGTGTTTAACCCTTAATCCTACAAGAAACCATATTCAGCAGACTCAAATTGGCCTCCCAGTTGAGATCAGGATATCCCACAAATAGTGATGTAGCATCCCAATCCTACTACAGCATGGGTGAGCAATTCATTTTCCCCAAAGCCACACCAATGAGTTCACAGAGATTCAAATTTATACTGAGCAGAACTGGAAAAATAATCTCCCAACCCTGCAAGGTGTGATCAACATAAAAATTAAATGTCAAAAGCTACAAATTCTTTTAATATCTTCCGATTAGACTTAAGGGTTGAAAGACAGTCAAACTGGAGAGTAAATTTGTTTCTATTAGTATGTTACTATGATTTAAGTATAGACTATATATGAAAGATTGATTTTTTTGGAGCCAGATGTGAGCATATTGGATGAAAGGCCAGTGATACAACCATAAAGCGCTAACATGTGTTTTTGCTAATTAGAGCCAATTAAAATACCTGATTTTCACTCACTAAAGCCGAAAAACTTCTTGGAACACACTGCGCCCACACAAGATTCAGCACGTAATTTAGTGACAGCCTGTTGTGTGAAAACGTGCTATAATTCAGTGCTATCAGGTAAACCGCTTCAACTATTAACTAGCAAAACATAAACAAGAGTTTGTGGAAGCTGCTCTTTATTTGAAAAAGAAAAGAAAAGACTTCAGTCATTGTCTGCTACACGTTCTAATTACATAAAGAAAACATCTGCGGAGACAAACGCAGAGAATATCCTGAATCAAACTTAGGTAGAGTCAAATTTGATTGAATTGCTTTCATATTTCATACATCTTTCAACGTTTGCGTTCAAAGAACAGTCAGGTTTTATATACACAGAGCACCGATCAACAGTGCGTCTCCTCTGCCACCCTGCCCTCGGGATCTTTTATACAATTAATTTACAACTAATCTGCGACTCTTTTCCCCTCCACTGGACGCGCCATCCGCCCTCCCACCCCCGCCCCCTCTCACTGAGGAACTGCAGCGTGGAAAGATGTGTGCAACATGAAGACAACTCGTTCACATTCAGAGTAAAGGCAGCCTTGATTACAGTCAGTGAGTCAATGGCATGCCAAGCTTAAAGCAAATGGAGCCCACCACCCAGTGCGACGCCTCAGATTCGTGGATGAAGTGTGTTATTTTTTTGTTTTTTTGTTGTTTTTTTCCCAACTAGTCAGAAAAACTGATCCATTGCAAAGTAAAACCCTAGGCACAGAATCAACTATATACTGTTAACTGACTTGTACTCTAACCCCTGCACTTTAATTACAACGGGGACTGTGAAGTCCTTCACCTAGTAGAAAATTTTCTTAACACAAAAAGAATATTTAGTGCTCTATCATTCCGCTTAATAGGTGTCATTTATATAATAGCTATTTTTTTTTAACTCTATCTCTTAATGATAGTCTGAGATCCTTGTTTAATGCTGAAGCACTCCCACGTGTTCTGTAGTTTTTACATTATTATTATTTTTTCCCCCCCAATCTTAAACCAATAATCATAAATAAATACAAACAACACACAAGGAATGTCTACTGTAAACACGGTAAAAAAGACAAAAACTAAACAGGTGTAAACGTCATTAGCATCACTACTTAGTGACAGTTAAATAACCGTAGGGAATAGATGACTGATGACTGGATCAAGAAAGGGAAGGAGACTGGATCAAGAAAGGGAAGGACTGCTCTACTTTCCCTTCCACTCCCTCCCCTCTGAACATCAACCCTTTATATCCAACCACAGCATGTCCAAATACATCAACATTTAAGTTTCTCAGCACCCAAAACTATCTTTACAGATTACACTGTAAAACGGATAAGGAGTCCTCTTAAGGGGTGGGTGGGTTAGACAGCAGCATCACTCGACGTCTCGGACAAGTTATAGAATAATGGGTGTGAGCTATCGCCAAACGTCATCTGGACATTGTTAGCATGGTTTCTGACAGTCGCTGCACCATTGTGTGAATGTTTCTCTGAAGACTGCAACGAGGACAAAGTTTTGCTGCTTGGGTGCTTTCATCTTCCAAGAGTCACTTCCTTCAAATTACATGAACTGCATCTGCAAGAAAAGGTCATGCACAATGTTAGAAACTCACTAAAATGCCTGCAGACATAATCCAGTCCAGGAACTGTTAACAGTCAAAACCTTACACTGATATATCCTGGCAGTGATAACAAGTAAGAGAGGAGCATTCTCTCTTAGGTCCAGTCGCATAGGCCCTTAAGACCAGTTGATGACTGGCTGCTTGGGAAAACCCAAGTGGTTGCTGAAGTTTGCTAGGTGAAATCTGTTGAAAAGAGGGTGCTGCTCCAAAAAACCCCTCCTTGCGTCGATCACTGACAGATTGCCATGGTCATCTGTAGTTTGGATGGTAGATCCTGAGCTGTCAACTGCTCACCCAGTGGAAGTCAAACTGGGAAATGTGACAAACTGGAAACAGACCATTCACAACTTTTGCCTTACTGTTGAATCCAGGAGCAGCATCTTTCATCCAAACTGCAAGTTACCAAAGCAATCGAAAGGAGATTGGCAACCAGTTTCATCTTGCAACTAACAACAACCACTTGCCAAATGGTCGGGGGATGAATATTTCTTTATCCAGGTTGTTACTGATTAGTCTCTAGGCCTATGTGACTGGGACCTTAAATTAACCCAAAATCTTCATATCTAGGAGTCTTAACACTGTTAACCATGAACCAGCCTGTTCATGAGCACATTCGCCAACGACAGCACCATGAATACAAAGAGCATTCAAATTTATGCTGAAGTGTTTCTTAAGGGCAGGACTTGTTGTTTTTAGACTTCCAGAGTACAAAAACAAACAAAAAAGGTACAGAAATTGTTAGCAGCGTTGAACTTCTCCTAATTTAAGCTACAGTAGTTAACAGAATTAGGTCCACTATTAATTAGTGCGGTTACACTACAATAATAGAAACTTGATGGAAATTAGTCTGACAACTGTGAAATTCAGATTAGTGGCTAAATCCCACATAGTTGTTAATTTCTATTACGCTATCTGCTAACGCCATCATTTCAAACACAATGTTTGTTTCTCACATAAAATAAAAATAACACTATTTGGATCATGATGATTAATTTAATTTCTCTAATACATGGATATAACATTAGCTTCATTAGCAGCTACTGCTTACGTAGGTTTCTGATAGCAAAATGAGACATTTATCATTAGTATATATATGTTAGGTCAGAGCTTAGCAAACATGCTGTTAGTTCACCAATGTCTACACAGTTCAGAGAAAACAGGTTTGAGCAACATGTGGTGATAGTGGATGAACTAGGGGTTAGAATGAGTATGGCTAAATCTGTCAATAAGGCAAGCAATCTGAGCAACACCATGTTAACATTAGTAAAAAGCAATACATCTAATCAGATGGATTTATACTGAATACAAATTAAACAAATGGATAACTGGACATGCAAAGCATGCAGGTGCATCCACAAGCAAAGAGCATGATGTACCTAAAGAGATGCTCTACAAGAAATCCTTGAGAGAGAGGTGTGCAAACGGGTCCTGTCCAGGGGCTCGGAGAGGACTCTGGCTGGAAGGACTAGAGGCTGCAGAGGGCTATTTCAGGGAGAAATACAGGAGGTAGGAGGACCAGAGGAGAAGTCAGAGTCAGTACAGAGACTGAAGGAGGGATGAGATTAGTCTGGAGAAGCTGTGATGTATGAGAGAAGGGTTAATTAAAAAAAAAGAAAAAAGGCTTTTTTTTTTGGAACAGGGAGTCAAAACAAGGGAGATGATTCACAGTTTTTGTCCCATTCAGCTCTACAGAGTGAAGGGTTCATTTGTTAAAACTGTCATCATCCTCAGCAATATCACACTGACAACAAAACTTACAGTGACTAATCATGGTGCACATCACAGCACAATGGATACACCAGTTTACTCAACCTGATAACTGTGCAAACTTTACTGTGCATCAACCCGGAGCAAACTAACGTGCACCCACCTGAGCACTAGACACAGAGCTAAAGGGGTTGGGTGGCCTCATGACCGGCTGGGAGTACATCATGGTGGGCGGATTCATCATCCCCATAGAGCCCATTTGTGGAGGCTGCAGCAAGTTAAACATCAATTTCAGAGGGGTCAGTAGTGAGCACAAACAACACAATCACATCATCCTGAATCTCTCAGATCTATCTGCTGATGAAAACTGAATATTAATATTTATAGACTGAATTAAATAAAAACTACTGAGAACTCACCTCTCACTTTACTTATCAGCCTTGAGAATATTTACATCAGCAAACAATGAGTCACTTGACCCACTTTAAGTGCATTTAATTAATTCTCCAAGTGATAAAGAGCACGGGAAATATTTATCTAACAAGCTGATTTGACAACTTCCTGAATGGATATCCAGCTTATTTTTCTTTCACACTTCAAACGAAATGAGTTTTACAGAAGCTTCACACGTACTTACCATGCCATATCCCATCATGCCTGTGGGTGTGGTGGCAGGGAAGGCCATGATCGACGGAGGCTGAGGAGACACAAACAGGTCAGGTAAGACAAGGCAAGGCAACAACATTAAATGTGACAGCCACGGTGACAGGGGTACAAAGGTCGCGACTCAACAGCTGGTCTAGCTCCTTTTTAATTACCTCCTCCTTGTCAGTGCACGCTGATTCTTTACTTTTCATATTGCAAAATATGGAGCGCAACAAATGGAAACCTTTGAGGCTTTGACAAAATTAAACGATGGTTACTTTATGAGCAGATAAAAACCTCTACTCCCACGACAATAACGTGCAGCAACTCTTTGTTTTCCAGCACTAATGTCTGCCATCTAAAGCCCTCCAGGGCTTGTTAAGCTCCACTGATTGTGCGAAACGTTCATTAAAAGAATCCTGAACAACATAGCTTTACACTGCTGTAATTTTGATTCACCTCAACAATGGGTTTGAAATAAAGCAATCAACATTTGATTGAAGTGCAGACTTTCAGCTTTAATTCAAGGAGCTTAACACAAGTATTGTATTAATGTGGCTGTGGTAAAGACCTGACGATGCATCTCAAGGGAGGAAACTCAGCATTTTGCTTGATTTAGCATCAAAGTATTTCAAATAATGCCCATATCTTTATGTTAATTTGTCCAATTACTCTGAACCTATTAAAAATGGACTTAATTCGTTAAAACCGTGATTAAAAGCTGAGGACTTGCCCTTCAATCACAGCCTCATCACTTTACTTCAAACCCATTAAGCTGTTGTGCAGAACCAAATTACCAAAACTGTCAAAATATATATATGTGTGTATCTGACTACAGACAGTTATAGACTGTTTAAAGCACCAGTACCTGTTCCAAGGTTCTGTTTATAGCTATGGATGTAATTAGTAACAGATTTTGAGTTTATGTAAGAGAACCCAGATGTTCTGGTTTCATGTCAGCTCTCTATTTGACAGCAGAATAAGAGCAAAAAATCTGCAGTGAAAAGTTTGTTTGTGTCACCATGGAGACAGGGTTCCAGGTCGTAGTTGGCGCCGCCTTGGGCTGCCAGTTGGTGCCGCCGGTCATCCTCTTCTCCCCTGGCTGGCTCCAGTGGATGTCACTGCGGATTAACACAGCCAATGTTAGCACCAGCCCTTAAGTGGCCCGAGAGCACAGAGCCGCTGAAGCGCACGTGCGCATACACACACACACGCACACACACACGCACACACACACACAGAGCGACGAAGCATCACTTACTTCTTCATCGTGCCATTTCCAATGCCGAGGTCTGAAAAAGGAAATACAACGAGCAGCTGTTAGCCTGCAAATGTTTCCCCCCCCTTTAATGAACACGTGCTTTAATTAGAGCAGCTAAAAGCAAAGCATCACACTCACTGCCCACAAGGTTGGCCAGGGAGGAGTCAAGGTCATCTGACACCAACTTCTCTGGCTGCTGATTGGACGGCTGGTTAGAGCCGGCAAGAGTCGGTTTCAGGATACCCCCAGTAATATCTGACAAGACAGAACAGAGGACTGGCTCAGAAAAGAAAAGATATTCGTCACAATGTAACAATGACAAAGACCGTCCGTAACAAACACTTAGAACTGGGGCTTATTTTCTTATTATAAATTCTATTTTTCATGAATTTTAATCCTTCTGTGCCAGCTGACACAGTATTACCTTTTTCGTTAATCTAGTAAACATAAAATTACTACAAATGCGACTAACGTACCTCCAGTGTTATTAAAAAAAAGAAAAGAAAAAAAAAAGACACTTTAATTCATTTGGATTTTTGTTTTCAGCCCTTTAGCTCAGTTTTCCAATTCCTGGAAAAAAAGATATGGCCACAGCTGACAACATCTGAAATCATTAAAGTTCCTGCAACACTTGTGTTATACCAGAACTAACAAGTATTCAGCAGCCGTGATCAGGGTCCCTTTATCCTCTTTTCCATGCACACCTTGGCGTCAGCTGCCAGCGGTATGGCACCAGCTAGTAGCTAATTAATATGATGTTTCTCTGCAGTTTGGTGTTGCCAGATAGCTTCAAGTGACATTTAGAGATTTTGAAAAAGAAAGAAAAGAAAACAGTTGCTTGTTTGGGCCAAAAACAGCGCTATGAGGGCAGAAAAGGGCGAACCAAAACAGTTTACAATGCCAATTACGAGTTCTGCAGTTTTCTCCCCCAAGCAAAACATATTATGTTAGCAGCATCTGCTTTAAAGAAATTAAAGTAACCACTAACAACGTGTGAAATAGTGGGTTTTTTCTTCTTGAGCGATTCAAAAAGAAAAAAACACCAATAAGTGCTAGAGGTGTGTGCCTGTTTCGGACTGATTATATAAATGAAAAGGATATAATGGTCTGTATGTTATGTGGTTTATTCCTTCTTATAAAACAAAGGTGCCATTTTTGTTTAGAGTGCATTGATAATCACTCTCTAATCCTTTCAGGGTTTTCTGGAAACTGTTTTCATTCTCTGTTCAAACAGATGATTTGAAGAGATTGAATTTGTTATTTCATCATTGAAATTCTGCACATTCAGTAAGTTATCAGTGTTTAAAACACTTCTTAAAATCAATTATACCCACCAAAATACTACGAGTGAAAATTTTTCTTAGCCTAACTCTGATTTGAGGTCTATCATCTGTCAGTTTCTTCACTATATGCAGTTTTTTGGCTGCTTGCAGACACACAGACAGTGTGGGGTAAAAATAACCCAGAAGAAAAACAACAGTATGTTCCTGCATTGGCGACTTGCAAGATGGGGCTGAGAGCTGCAGGTGTTTCAGCTGCATCTGACGTCAGGACCAGACACAGCTATCTAAAGCAAATAACATGACTTAGTGCAGTTCTAAATAGCAAGATTTCGCTGTTTTTCTTCAAGCTACTACAGCTAAAATAAATGGTAGAAAAAAACAAAACATTAATGTGGTCCACTATCTTTCAGATATTTCCTCCCCCTTTTCGTGAGGAAAAAAAACCCAACTTTCTTCAGCTAAGTGAAGGACTGTTTTTGATCCATCATCTGCAAACTATAATTAAGCACTGTCTGCCTTACTAAGAGACAAAAAGCTATGGTACTGGTATTGCCAGTTCACTTGAATGTGAAATCCTTACCATCAGAATTGAGGCTACTGCTGCCTGTGGCTTTGGCTCCAAAAACTGACTCAAAGTCCACTTGCAGTCCCCCCGCTGATGGCTGTGGAGGGGCCTGTGGTGTTGAGTATCCTTCAGAGAGATGAAAGAGAAGAGTGCTGTAGTTACACAGTTACAAGATGAGAAATACTCTAAAAACTGACCACGGCCTGGACCCAAGGTTTCTGCACCAGCACTTCTAACTACAGAAATTCTAGACATTTGAACAGAGAGCAGAATAACACAGCTTCCTCTACAGGATGGGAAAAAAAAAAAGCATTGATCTACTGATGAATGAGGCAGAGAGATGCCTTCAGTACTCTACCTCTGAATAGACCTGCTACAGAAGAGGGCTCAGTGGGGAAGGGAGCCTGATGTGGGAGGTGCTGGGCAATGGACACTGGACCACAGAAGGAGTCTGACACGCCACAGGAAGCAAGAAGAACACAAAGAAAAGAAAGACAGGAAGAAAGAAAGTATTTCAAGGCCAGGCCGAGAGACATGGAGGAAGTGACAGCAATATTACATAAAGAAAGACTAGAGCTGGGCGATAGAACGATAACGATATGTATCGCGATATAACTTTTACTCGATAGAGAAATTAA